AGGCGGTGGGGGTGGAGGGAGTTGCAATACTCTAGTTTCTGAATCTCTACGGCTAATGGTGTGTTTTTGGTGGTTAACAACATAGTAATTATTTGGCAAATGATCGCCTTCGATCTCTTTTCTGTGGAAATTTCTATGGCACTCACAAGCTGCACATTTTAGTGCTTCTGGGATGTCTTCCTCTCCACTTGGCATGAATTCTCCGCAGCCATCGAGCACGTGGCCGCCGCTGCTGGCCGCGTGGTTTTTCAAGCATTCCCTATATCTAACTTTCTGTGGTGCTGGTGGTGGTTGAACTGGTGGTGCTTTGAAATTTGATCCACCAGGAATTGATGTTGCACTTGGGGTGACAACAATTGGAGATGAGATTGGATCTGGGTTTTGCTCGGAATCTCTTCTTGATGATTTGTGTGGTGATAGATTCAATTGATGAGGCTGGTGATGATGAGGAGGAGGATGGGGGTCTAGGGTTTGAAGAGGGTTGATGAAGATTGTGTTGTTAGCAGTTGAGGGTAGGGCTGGAGAAGAAGAGAGCTTGGAGGAAGAAGAGTCCCTATTGGGGGGATTATAGCCCAGAGTGGTTGGCATCCCTATTACCTTATCTTGGCCTCTCACCTCCATTAAATCTGATATCTATAGCTATTATACTGGACTTGATCTCAGCCTCCTTTTTATTTTCTCTAATAAAAATAAATAATAATGGAGAGTGTGTTTACATTAACTATCTTCATCATGGCATGATCTGTCTCTCAAACTATGGATCTTTTTGTAATTTTCTCAACTCTAATTCATACTGTACTGTCTAATCTAACCCAAGAGAAAACTTAATCAAAGATATAATCACTAACCTAAGATTATTCTTCTTTCTTTTTTCTTTTTTTCTTTTTTGTATTCTGATTTTGACATTTTGGGTGCTAAACCCACCAACCCATCTCACTAATTTCAACCCTATTTCCAAAGAGGTGAGAGGATGACTTGAGAGAGAGAGAGATGGACTGATGGAGTAGCTGAAGAAGAAAAGATTGAATATTAACTCACATAAATAATTTAAAACAAATCTTGGAACTCAAACAGGAAAAGAAAAAAGAGGGGCCCTACAAGCTAGAGATTGAATAAATCTTACCTCTCAGAAATCAGACTGTAAAAATGGTAGAAATATTGTTGTAGTTGCACCACCATTGGAAGCATAAGTAAGAAGCTGGTTCTGGCATTTGATTAAAGATGGAGGGTATTCAGATAATTAGAGCTAAAACTAAGATTATGACAGAAAGTATGGGGAAGAGAGAGAGAGAGGGAGATAAGAAGAGGCCAAGAGTGAGATAGATGGGTGCTCTGAGAACAACTGAGAAAGTGGTTTATGTTTCCTACCACCCATCCAACCCCATAAAATCTATTGATGCAAGGTGCAGGTGGTTTGTTTTGTACTCAAAATGAGTGATGACTACACTGAGTGAGTGAATGAATGAGTAAGAGAGAGTCCTCTTATTTTGCAGAAGAGCCGACAGGGTCACGTTAGTACTCTCTCACACCCTGCAACCCTGGTCCAGTTCCTAATTATTGCTCTCTGAAACCCTAAACCACCACAAAATTAATGTGTTTTATGTGTAAGACAGAAAGAAAGAGAGAGAAAGAGAGGAGAGAAAAAGAAAAAGAAAAAGAAAATATGTCAGATTTGACGTTACTCTGTTTGCCCGGAATCTTTCCTGCAACGTTCCTAAAAAATTTCCCAGCTTAAAGACTTAAAAACTGTTTGAGATTTGATTCTCAGACGCAAAACCCAGTTAGTTCCTAATTAAGCAGGCCTTAAAACAAGGGTTTAAGATAAAGACAACGAGAGAATCCGAGGGTTTATCTAAAGGTAATAAAAAAAAAGTTCTATGTCATTATCAAGTGGTTAAGAGCATTTGACTCTGCGCATGATCATGAACAACTTCTAATTGTTTACGAAAGTGAGGTTGCGTGATTGATTCTCAACCGTTGATTTAAGTAGAAATCTACACTAACTTCTAATTACATTAACGGTTAGAATCACTCACACGCGCGCGCGTGACAACTATTCTAAAAATAAGAAGAAATAAAGGGGTGAGATGAAGATTTTATTTTTCTCTTTTTTCCATCTCTCTCTTTTGGGTGGGTGTGTGAGGGAGCTAAAGTGAGAGAGAATGGTATGCTGGTCCACATAACAGCATTTATTTTGTTTTGTTAGTGTGTGTGTGTCAGAGGTTGTGTTTGTGCGCCTGCTGCAGTTTCGTTCTTTCCCATTGCAAATTGATGCTGTATTTGCTGCCATTATTGGCACTTTCACTCCTTTTACTTCATCTTCACACATCCATATATTGTGTTGCACTATTGTGCTTGGTTTTGTGGTACTGTTTCTACACTAGTTATCTTAGCCCATGTCTAAGAAACAACCCATTTTCAACACTTTGCTATTTGGTTTGGCCCCCCTCTTTTCCTTAGGACCCGCATTATTTCCTTCTAGTCCACGCCACAGTTCATAAGGTATTGCATACTAGTACTAATCTTTGAAAACATAGTGATGTAGGACAAGGCGAGACTTTGTTCAAATGCTAAATTGTGAACAAGACAGTTCGGCCAAAAATTGATGAGAAAGCGATCAAGAGTTGGAAAGACATACTCTAATTATGTGTTTGACGTTTGGAGAAGTAGTACAACGAATATTCAAGTCAAGATGAGCAAAGAGTGAAATCCGGTGTATCTGCTCAAATCTAAACCCTTGTCAATTTGTTAATTGTGATTCTTGATGCATCACAAGGTAAAAAGAATATAACATTTCTATAACCACCTTAGGCAACTACATGACATTGTAATTCATGTATTTATTATTGTAAGTCTGATCGATTGTTCATTTCTTGATAACTCAAGTTTTTGGAGATGGTGACCCTCTAGCGTATGTAGTACTAAATAATTTCTTTGCAAGAACGTTAGGTTCAATTCTCATTCCCCGTCCGATTTCTTTGCTACTTAATGTGGTAAGAAAATGTGACCCATTTTAGGATTACCTTTTAAATTTTGTTTGTAAGGAGCATTCCTCATCCACATTTCATTCTTATGCATAGTACAAATAACAGAGTACTCAGTATGATGTGGGGGTCTTAATTAAGATTCACCATCTAATAATTTGATAGTTCTTAAATTGTACAACCAACCACCGTGTTCAATCTATTTGACAAACTTGTTAGGTTTCCAGTAAGGAGGTCTTGGGTTGTATACATAATTTTTAATTTTGGGTCATATGGGTTGTATATATAATTAAATCAAACATCTAGCTGAATTTCCATTTTGGCATACACTTCATTTAAAATGATATTGAGATTATTGTATAAAAAAAAATGATTATGTATGACAAAAGGCAATCCTATCCAAATTCAAATGTCCTTTGGGGAGCAAATATTCAAAGTCTACCAGCTGCCCTTCTGTTTGCTATTCAACATCTGTGACTTAAAAATAAATAAAAATTAATCTAGATCGATTATCATGATTAACATCCAAGCATCTAATCTAATTAAGTCTTTTGACATGTTTATTAATCAGTAATCGGATTAGGATGAATTAAATTGAGAAGGAGTTGGATTAAGGAGAATTAAATTCCGGATTCCTATTGAAGTTGTTTATTAAACCATATGGATTGAGGAGAGTTAGATTCCGGATTCCTATTGAAGTTGTTGATTAAACTATATGGAATTGGGGTTGGAGTTGTGCTAACTACTAAAATGTCCTTCTTGTTGTGTTAAAGTAGATGACAACTTTGGAATTTGTAAAATTATGTGAGAATATAATTGGTAAAAAAAGATGAATTCTTAATGGGTTAGATCTCTAGAAATTAGAATACCACCTCTAACCCTAAATTTTGTGTAAATCCCATTTCTTTTTTAATTCATCGATGTAAAGTAAATTCATAAATCTTTAATATTTGAATTAAATTCCTAATTGAATTCCAATTCATGATTTGTAAAGTTGTGTGGCTGGCCAGTTGCATGCACCCAATTTTGCACTCTCTGACACAATGTTTGTTTGATACAATTCTTATTAATTTGAATTACTATATTCGAGATAACTAATGGTTTTTTAGGGCTGAGTTTTATATTCCAAGAATATCTTGTGAGCTTCCTTGATCTATCTAAATTATTTCTTTGGTGTGCTTGAGGGAACAATTTCCAAGTAGTTAAGCCTCGTTTAAATTAAAGGAATAAGATCTGTGATTAAACTAATCAGACAAGCTTTTCTTTCCTAATCAGTGCATGACACAAGTAATTAACTGCTGGGATTTTGGAGACGTGGCAGAAACCCAGCCAAGTGGCTCTATTTATTCATTTGGGACTGTGCCAAGTGTCCCTGTCTCACTTTTCTTTTGTTTGTTCTATTCATTCTGGTATTTCACAGGTGAGGAGGGGCCAAGCCAGGGTTGGCAGGAGCTGTCTTTGATTAGCCAAAGGGGTTCGTGGTCTTAGTCTATGGTTTCATTTTCTAGGTCATGATAAAGTTGTTAGTGTGGGCCTAATTTAGTTTACTTATGACCCAGAAAATACAGAAAATACTTATTTCTTATTTATTTATTTATATTTATAATCAGCACCCCTAACGAACCAATTTCTTGGTTGGGTTTGTCTTAAATTTGTGAAACTTTGAATAACATTAGCCAAAATGTGATGAATTTTGTGGTGTTTTCAAGGCTCCAAGCCCACTTCAAAAAATCAGATTCTGAAGTGACATAACATTACAGATGGGTAATAATAGAGCCTGGAAAAATAAAAGAATAGGTACTTCTACTTGTTTATGATCACTGATCAGGTAGAGGACCACATATGCTGAAGCCTCAGTTGCATTTTCCTTTTCCACTGTGTGGTGAAGAAAATACTAGTAACTCTCAATATTCTTGATCCAACAACAGCATGTATTTTCAGTTTATTTCAGATACTATACATATATAAAAAGAGGGTGTGAGGACCGAGATCTGAATTTTCTAAATAGGTGTTCTACCACTGAAGTTATACTCACGAATACCTTGCTAATCTAAAAAGCCCTAAGTATACTAATTCCGTGAAATTCAAAATGCATCGACATAAGACCTTGAAAGCCAAAAAGACGACAAGAAACACAAAGGTTATTTTGTGTATTTGATTCGTCTTATCATTTCTGCTTTATGGATTTGGAGAAAGAGGTCAGGGAGGGGGGGTCCTATGCAATTTGGACGGACATGGGACACCAAATGTTCCAAGAATAAAGATAGCCAAATTGTACGGATGGAGTGGACAGGGCTTTGTTTTCTTCTTCTTCTTTATTTATATTTTATTTTCCAAAAATCTTAGGAATTAGTCCTAGTTGAGACAAGGAAATCTATAACATTTGGATCTACGGATTTGAATGAGTCACATCACTCTGCGCATGCACGTTTCATAGTGTGTGTGGTGTATTTAGTTTGGTATTTTGGTGGTAAAGGTCATGACTGGTGCGTGCGAAGCCACCACCAATCACCTCCACTCTCTACTTTTCTCTTTTTTTTTCTCCTTTCCTTTACGTTAACAAGGGAGTGTGGAGCATTGGTCAACTATATACTCATTATTAGCCACCCCCTAATTGTTTAGCGGTCCTACCATTCTCTATACTCAGAATTTAACTCAAACCCTAAATGATGTGGATGGATCGAATGTTGATCTGAATTTGATATAAGTAATGTAAGATTGATACATTGAGATTCTCGATTCGATAATCTCTATATAATCGAAATTTAATGATTCGTCACTTTAACAAATCAAATATAGATTAAGACCAATTCGATATGAATCCGATGTTTATCATATATGAATTAATAAACTGATTCGAATTTGAATGCAAGCCAATCCGATCTGCTCACAAGCCTCGTGCATTTTGGAGGAAAAAAAACCTAAGCGCCCACCAGCACTTTTAGGGCCCAATATAAGAATTTAGGTATAAGATGTGATGTTTAGCATTGGAGATGACATCAAATACACTGTTAGCATAACAGCGATTTGAATGTAAACCTAGCAAAATAATGATTATTTACTGCTGTCATGTCTATTCCTTTGTCTTCCTAAAAAGAATCCCCCCTAGCGTATACAGTTGAACATTGACTTCTGACTTGTGCTTACACTTAGGCATTTATTTTATAGATCATCGTAGTCGCATCTTCCGTTACATCCAGCTTCATATACAGGTTGGAGGATGGGCCAAACTGCCACAAGTCTAAAACTATACACAATAAAATTGTTTGGGCCACCAGCTGCCTACAGCCTAAGATAGCCCAAGATCAGTTTTTGAGGGTGCCGTATATGAACTTTTCATGTGAAATTTCATATTAACCACAAGATTATTTAATTAAACTTAAGTGAAGTTACTATTCGGAGAAATCATGTGATTAATATGAAAGTCCACATCTATAATCCATATATAGCATCCTCACCATAGAACGACTCTGTGCGCCTTTTTATATCTTCTGTTTTTTTTTTCCGTGAATGATCGAATGTGTGCTTTAGGCTATGTGCCTTCGTCTGCATGGTTTTCTGCCTTTAACAAGATTCCTTCACTCTGCAAGCATGTAGTGGTAAGCAGATATGCATGATCCAAATCAATCTATTACTCAATCCGACAAGATTAAGAGCACTATCAAACTATCAAAAGCAAAGCTCCCCTATCTAAACACCCGAAACTCTATCCGAAACATAGGAAGTAACGTAAGGATTAAATTGCAGAACTGAAGTCAGTATCGGATATGAACAAGAATCTTTACGATGTATCGATGATATCAATCATTCTTAAGGACTAGCAAGTTTCCTTAAGTGTCATAAACAGAATATTTGGTTCCCTGCTATGTAGCATGGATACACAGCAAATTTCTAAAAACTAGGATACGATACGTGATGGGTACAAGAATTAAAAATATATCTTACTAATTTAATATATAGCAATAAAAATATATATAATTCAAAACATATTTTAAATAGCATTCATTTCACTCAAGGATCAAATCCACGCAAATCCTCCAGCAATTACAACTCAATCAGGATCAAATCTCCTTCATCCTACAACCAATGAGAGTTTCTGTATATATTTATGCACAAGTCAGCTGTAAACACACAGGTTATTCTCCAGATTCCTACTCCCACTTATCTGAAAAGCCGGATACCCGTGTCCGTTGACTCCGATATGTATCTGACGCTTATCGGAGCGTATCGTACAAATATTGTATCCGATACGGGACACGGAGTTAAACTGGCATATCCGTGCTTCATAGGTTCCCTGGATCTTAAAGAAGGTAAACAAATAAGATAATGAACACGGTAAATAATGCCTCTCTGTTGCAGAACAACATTTATTTGCTTATCATTTCATCTCCCTCCACCACTTCCTCTAAGAACACTTCTAAACCCCACTACCTACTAACTCTTATCTCAGTAAGAAGCTAAAGATACCAACAACTATAAAGCTCTGATTTTGCAACACAACTGAGGTTGTGGTTTCATTCCAGAGCTCAACCCAAAAACAAAAAACGAGTCATAAGAAGACAACCAAATTAAAGAACTACAACTCAGAATCTGTGAAGCACTGCGTACAACTCAGAATCTAGATAGAAGATAACTGGGGTTCAATAAAGACTCGAGAGCTTTTCACCAAAAAAAAAAAAAAACAAAAGACTCGAGCTCAAGCCCAAAAAAGATCAGTTATATCCAGACAACAAAATCGAGGAACTCAAAACTCCAATCCCTGGCCATATGATTAAGATGGTAGAATGGTAACTTATCATCTACAGGCCACAAATAAAGACATGATCCACAATGGGTGTTTCAATAATGATGCTTATCGACCACCAATCAAACCTTAGTCATATAATTATCAAACAGGACATCACACATCTAAGTGATGCTACATTTGGACCAACTTTGACGCAGAACTAATCCGCAAGCTCTATATTTACTAGCAAACACTCAAAATTCATCTTTCATTACACAAACAAAAGATTACAAAGCAATTTCAAATTTCAGTCTAACAATGATAAACCAATGAACCAGTTCAGAAATTCTTCAATGATACAACAAATATACACAAACTACAAAAGTGATTCATAAGATTGAATTAGTTCAGAGCGAAAGTTCCATTACCCGAGAATTCGAAAAAGTTCCAAAACCATAAGAGCCCTCCACAATTGCTACTATAAGACCCCCTTGGCCTCCATGTACCTCCACATGTACCAAGACCCAACAGACCTATAAGGCCTCCATTTCTCACACAACTGCTCCATCTCCAATGGCTTCGGCAACTCCTTCAAACCATACAGTAACTGCACTCCTTTCCTCACACCGAGATCGCCGACCGGAAGCACATCCGGTCTGCGAAGTGAGAAAATCATGAACATGTGGACCGACCAAGCCCCAATTCCCTTCACCACGGTGAGCATTGTGAGCAGACCCTCGTCGTCCATTTCCAGAATAGAAGAATCGGACAAAGTCCCATCACTGTACTTCTCGGCCAAGTCATGAAGATACGAAGCCTTTCGGCCCGAGACGCCGATATTTCGGAGCTGCTGGGCAGAAAGCGATGCAACGACGTCGGCGACCACGGATTCCTCGCCTCCGCAGAGCGAAATGAATCGGGTGTAGATCGATTGAGCGGCTTTGGTGGCAAGTTGCTGGTAAAGAATGCTTCTTGCGAGCGATAGAAATGGACGGCCGGAATCAAACGACGACGGAGGGCTGTAGGAGTCGATCAGAGCCGTTAAATTCGGGTCGGAGCTGCGTAAATGTTGGAGGGCGAGGTTGATTTCGGATTGGGAGGTTAATGGGTTTAGGGTTTTGGGGAGAGCGGAGGAGGAGGAGGTGAGGGGCTTGGTGGTGGGGTTGTTGGAGAGTTTTAGGATTTTGCGGGGTCGGAATGGTATTTTGGGGGAAATGGAGGGGTTTGGGGAAATTTCGGTTGGTATTTGAGCTTGGGATCGCTTAGCCATAATGGTGGCGATGATGGTTGGTGGCGGCCAATTGGTGTTTGCTCTGCCTAAAGGGTAAAGAGACAATGAAAAGTCGTTGTTCTAAGATACGACTTTACGTAAAAACCTATCGTAGTAACCGGGTGTTGGCGGCTAATGGCCAGCGTACGGCCCATGGTCGACTTGATCTACTGGACTTTCTGATCCATTAAGCTCGGACCCAGTTTGGAATTTAATTTGAGCCTGTGGACCGGGGTTTTCAGCCCGATATAAACAGTTATGGGAAAGCTCCCTTTCTCATCAGTTGAGATATAGAAGATTCGAATTTATGACATATTTCAGTATTGAGAAGATAAATACTACTAGATCAATAATTAATTTCAGTCCGTAACATTTGAAAAGCTTACAAAATAATTATCAAATAAAACATTCTATCAAATTTAGTACCAAAGAGTAAAAATATCTATGAATTCTCGGAACATAAGAAAATTCATTCAAATTCTCGGAGCAAACATCGTAGTTTTAACCAACTAACAATACTAAACAATAAGACAGTTTTTCGTAATTATACTTGAAGCAATATATAGGAAGGGGAACACAAATACATAGAATGATTGGGTTTTATTTCTAAGCTCCATCTTCATGGGGGAGGGAAGCAAGGAATCGCTTGAGACATCTATTGTAAACACAAGGTCTTTCCAAGTGGACCAAGTGACCTGCCTTCTTTATGCCTTCAAATGTTGCATTTTCTCCTAGTTGCCTGCGTACACATTAAACAAAAATAATCTTTCAAACACATCTTAAGCTACCACACAAAATATTTAGAGGGCAAATTAAGCTCATTGGACCTACTCTTTCATGTTGTGGGCAAGCTCCTGCTGGAATATCTGATCATTTTCACCCCACAACAGATGTATTCTCTGCAGAGATGTGTAAATTAAGCACACAGAAATTAGAACAAAATAAATTCTCGAGTGATGTAATTAAGAAACACAGAAAGGAAAGTAGCATAGAATCTCCAGAAGAGAGTGAGTGCATGTGGATCACCTGTGGGAATTTGGGGATTGTTGGGTCCTTGGTATCAATGACTAAACCTTCAAGGAGTTCTTCTCTCTCCTTCCTGTTGGTGAACATCACCTACAGATTGGCAGTAGCCCAAAAAAAATTTAGCTAGAGGTTGAACGATTTGCTTCCTGAACAACGTAACAATGATGATGTTATCTTCCTAGTTTGCACATACCAAGGCGTTTTTACTCTTCAAGTTTTTTTCTTCTTAAAGATTAAGAAGGGAAAATTGAATTCGAAACCTATTCCAACATCATAAAAAATAAATAACAATAAATTGTTGGTCTATTTGGGTTAAACCTATGAACGTAGGTTGAGCTTATAATGTTTTCGTTACAAATTTAATGATTATTTTCTACAATATTTTCTGAATTGAAAGTTTATCAAAACTCTTTCATTGTAGAATATCAAAACTCTTTTGCTCATAAATTAACGTAATTTTAGACATAAGCACAATATCAACACCGAAAATAATTATAAAATATCAAATTTCATCTATACAATTTTGTGATCCCAATTATGCCTATATGCATTTGTTAACCCTTTCATTCAAAGGTGTAATCCTTCCCTTGTCCCACATCCCATTTATGTCTGACAATTCTGCAAAATTTCACAATCCACCATAGGCTCACCAGAATAATAAAAGAAGAAAAATATCTCAGAACCAATCAAACATGAAACTCTAGCAGTTTTCCCATTATGTCTCAAAACATGCATACCTTTCTATTTTTGGGTTAAAAAAAAACTTGCATACTTGTTTGTTCAAACCCAAAAAAAAGAAGAAAACAAAATTGAATACCTCGAGGAAGTCCTTGTGAAGCCGGTCAGGAAAATAAAGCTTCTTATGAGCAGCGATAGAGAGCAAGGTCTTGAGCCCCTTCACCGAGCTGGGCAGCAGAAGCTCCGAAGAAGACCCGCACCCAAGCCTCTCCATGGTCTCGTCGCTGACCGAGCAAGTCATAGCCAAGATCGAGCCGGAAACCACCAGGGCTCGAACCATGTCCGGGTACAGCTCGGCCAATTTGAACCCCACCATCCCGCCGTAGCTAAACCCAACAACCGTGCACCTCTCCACCCCGAGCTTCCTCAACCCCGCAGCCAAACATTCCGCCTGCAGAGTCGGTGATCGGTCCGCCTTGTCGGTGGCGGAACCGCCGAAGAAGAGGAGGTCCGGGACGTAGACTGAGTACTTTTTGCTCAACGCGCCAATCTGAAACTGCCACGTGACAATCCCCTCGGCTGCGAAGCCGTGCACGAGGACCACGACGGGCTTTGTTGGGCTGGCCTTGACGGTGGGCTTCTGGCCCTTCTTGGGCTTGTCGAGGGTCTCATTTGGAACCCAGAAGTTCATGGCCGTGCCAGGTTCGAGCTCCACCGTGTACGGCCGCACTCCTGCCATTTTCATGAGCCCATGCAGTAAGGGTCTCTGCAGCGCTACCAAGTTCACCATGTGTTTGTTTAAAGTCCTCTGTGAAAACTTTCTCAGTGTTGAGGCTCTCAAAGCATGTGTTCAGAAGCTGGGTTGCAGAGATGGGTTTAAAACCTGTGTTGGAAATTGAGGTTTGGTGATGGGTTGTTACATCTTGTGCCATTAATGGAATGTAAAATTTGAATGAGATAGGGAATTTAATGTTAGTAAATTGGGAGCTTTGGAAGCTTCTGTCTGTAATAAACTAGTGAAGTTTTTCTTCTTGTAGGTGAGTGATCTAGCGGATTGAGCAGACACCGCTAGCAGAGTTTCTTGCACGAAATCTCCCGTTGTTTATCTTTTGAGTGATGAACTTGTTTAATCAAACTTATGAACTTGTGTTTTGTCAAAATACTAAATCTATAAGTGTGAATAATTTATGTACATATACACACACAATTAGTTTCGTGACTGAAAGAGGAAAGACCATGTGTTAGGGGTCCAAAGTCTCTCAATATCTGCGTTCATTTTTAGGTTTCTTCTCAAGATTTTTTTTTTTGGTCAAAGAGTTTCTTCTCAAGAATTATTCTCAGTTTTGCTGAAATTTTGAAAGGGTTTTATCATGCACTGAAAACTTTAAAAATGGAGGGTTTTCAGATCTTATTAGGACAATTATTCGAGATGAAGAGCTCTAATGATATGTTCTTAAAAGTGACACTCACCTAGATTTTTTGAAAAGAAGATATTTGTAAATAAATTGGAACATGTTCTGTAATGTGATAGGTCGGATAGAATAAGAATAATCAACAACTAAAAATTAACACATATTCACAGTATAACAATATAATATGTTTAATATATAAGAAAATATTATGGAGTTTTACTAAAACACCCAAAATGGGGGTTGAAATTATAAAAAAACCCAAGCACTATTTAAACATATAAACACACCCAAAACCCATCATTACACACACTCAAAACCCATTTATAAACACACCCAAAAAGTTAACTTTGGGGTTGATTTTGGGTGTGTTTCTATGTTAAATAGTGCTTGGGTTTTTTTATAAATACATGTCTAGGATTCGGTTTATTTATAAATTTGTAAAAATATTATTTATATATAAGACTTTCTTGCATATTTAACCCGTGGATTAGAGCGATTCCACTGATGCGCCTAAGGGGAGGGCTGGGGGAGGGGGGTTCGGGGCAAATTATTGTTTCCAGCAGCAAGGGCTAGCCCTGGCAGGAAATGGGGCCCACGAACCTAGGCTAGCCCTCAGGCAAGATCTGCTTTAGTTCAAACCCCAGTTTGCTAACGTCAGCGATGATGTCAGCAACAACAAAAATTTAAAATAAATCTACAAAAAATGTATGATTTTTTTTAATAAATACTTAGTTGTAGTTTTCAATTCTCACACCAAAACTCTATACAAATTTCTCTCCTCATATCTCATGTGAATAGTTATTGTCATGGCAATTGATGAAAACATCACAACGTTTTGCAAGGGTAGCAACTATTCACGTGAATAGTGCTCTCTAGGCCCCCCTTCCCATGGCAAAGGGCAAATAGGTAGAGTTGCTCTTAGAAATAATGATTTGGGTTTAAATGTTAATAATTAAGATTTTAATCCAAAGGTTTATAATGACCAAGAGGGTACGGATTAATTTATAATATATATGTCGTTGTTGCTTTGTGTGCGTAGGATATGTGGATTATTATTTTTCCTGTTCAGGGTACAAGGTTGTTTGGCTTTTGATCAACTGCTCCGCCTACCGCTGCCGTCTGCCTAACTTTATGGTGGACCTTATGAGTGGGGTAGTGAATCACTAAAGAATGTGAAGGGCTTTTGACTCATTTCGGACTGACGTTTGCATTTGATCCAAGGTTTTGAGTTTGAGTCTTTTGACCTTCATTGCATTGATATATCCTTTTCTTTTCAAATAAAATAAAATTACGCATATGCTATATGCTTATTATCTCGTTCATTAGAGCATCTGCAATGATTAAAATCAATGCAATTTTATTGCCTGAAATTGAACTCAAATATTAAAATTTCACTTACAATTTTATATATATTTATATATTTTAGTCAACCGTGAACTCGAACTTAAAATCTCTTTTAATAGTGAAAATAAAAGTATATGGTACATGATTGTTGATGTGTTACTCAAAATAACTCCTAAATTTACCATAATTCAGAGTCAGAAGATGAAAATGTATGCTTTTATTTTTCAGAATTTTCAAACGATAGCCCAAATATGCTTTAATGGCTTGCAGTTGTGCAATAATAACTGAGCCCGCTATAAAAGTTTTTTTCTCATCAATAATACTATTTGCTTATTTGCATAAATAACACGCGGAGTAAATCTGACACATCAAGTGTATTTGTGCGCCAATCCAAAAGTTGTTGACGGTGGCACCTTTGGCGGTCTTCAGATAAAGAATCGCTTTAACTATTATTTTGTTCCAAAATAATAATATTTTAAAAAATTGGAGATTTATTATTATCCCCTTCAAAAAATACAAGGAAATAAATATTAATAAAAATGGTCTTCGAGACTTCGACTGCGGCTAAATTACACTTTCGTAACCACGTCAAGCGATATTAAAGAAGAGAAAAAGTAAAAAT